GGTTGGTCTGGATCTATAAAGTGACCTGAGATGACATGATGTGAATTGGAGCTATAGAAATAGACTGAATAGAATTGAATGTTTATTTGATGTTTGGAATTAAACCTTCCAGATGTTCATTCAGAATAAATTTCCATCTCCTTCACTGTCGCCGTTCATCTCCTTTATTTCAGCTAATTAGCATCAAGCTAAGGAAGCGATGCTTTCGCTATTAAAGCCGAATTAACAAACATGTCGGATGTTGATGGAAAAAAACACGAACAACGAGATCAAACAGTTAGAAATTCACTAAAAAGTCCAAACTTCACTAAACAGAAGCAGGTTCTGCTCCAGCGCTGCGGCTCCATGTTGAGCAGGTAAACCGGTTTAAACCTGCTCAGGCCGCCATTAAACCCGCCAGATTTAGACTGCAGACAATAGAGACACCGAGACGAGTAAAGAAAGAGTGAAAAAGAAGAGTCTACAGACCTCCGACTGAAGCTTTAGGCTGACAGAACAACCATGCAGCTGCGCTTCATTCAGCCGGAACACGGACTGATTCCACTGACGGACAACTTCCGGAGTAACGAGAACGCACTTCCGGTCCGAAATAAAAAGCCGCAAACATCTCTACAAGTATTTTTAATTATTAAAATAAACCTTTGCAAAAACATTTATGACAATTTTAAAATCATTCAAACTTAAAAATATTGTTAAAAAAATCAGGAAACTAAAAAACATGTAGAGAAGGAAGAAGTTTTATTTTTTTTTACTTTTATTTTCATAAATCCAAAAAACATTTTCAGAAAAGCAGAAACGTACAATTGAACATGTGACATCCATAACAGATTTCTTTCAGGAAAAAGAAACATAAAACATAAAAGAATGAGAAAGATTATTTAAAATAAAAAAATAAAAAAATAAAAAAAACACACTAACGTATATTATAGCAATATGATATGACATGATAGCCATGTCTGAAAACTTTAAGGCCTCCAGTAACTTAATTGAGGCATGAAAACTTTTAATATTGTTTTGGAATGCTTGAAAATCTGGAAAAGCTTTAAAGAATCTGCTATTGTGGATAAAGAATTTTCCCATAATTAAAATAATATTAGATAAAAATTCCACATTTTTATCATGAAAAGTAATTTAACTCCTTTATATTCAAAATTAGGAATCATATTTTTCGTTGATAACCAATCATAAATCCCAAAAACAATTGTAAAAAAAATGTTCTTGTGTTTCTAGATCTTTCTGACAAAAGTTACATACATTAACATCAAATTTAAATCTTAAACTTAATAACTCTACACAGGGATATATATTATTTATAGTTTTTAAAAAAAACTTCTTTCATCTTTGGTAGGGAATGAGAAAAATCTGGTTCTGACCTTAAGAACTTCCAACTCTGAAAACACGTTTAAAGGGAGAGGAAAATTGTGTTATTTTATTTATTATTTTGTTATTAAATTTGAGACCCGTAAAATCGTAATTATCTATAAGAAGAATGGGAAAGATCGGTTTTACATCAGAATATTTAATCCTTCCTTTGACCAAATGTATCACGGTTGACGGATTGCCCTAATCAGAGATTGAAATTGTTTCCATAGACCAATCTAAATTATATTTTCTTTTAAATATTGTGTAATCCAGAATATCATCCTGTGTGTCCATAAGATGTATAATGGCCCAGATACCTTTTCCCTCCCATTCTCTGTACTGTAGACATTTTCTCTTATACAAAATAAATTTGTTATTCCAAATAATCATAAAATGTGGCGTAAAATTGTGCTCGTATAACATTTTCCAATACTTTAGAACTTAGGTGGTATTCTGATCATTTAATCGGTATTTTGACAGGATCAAAGTTACAAATTTTTATTCCTCCAATTTCTTTTGAAAAAGTTGTGAAGGGAAACTAAACCATAAACTTGTTTCTTTTTTAATAAAAGTTTGCAGCCATTTTGAAGCAAGAAAAATTAAGCGAAGAGGAAACAGCAATAAATGATAAACTAGGGGGCGCCATTTGTAAAGTTAATCAGTTTAACATTAGGAGCAACATTTATAGTTATTTAGCATTTTAAGAGGAAAATAAGGTTATTTTATTCCAAGTCATTTTTTCACAATGTCATTCATTCATTTATAAAAATATTAGTTTGCAAATTAAATATTTAGCTCCAATTTAAATATTTAGTTTGTTAAATAAAAATTTAGCTTGAAACTAAATATTTAATTTGCATTTAATTTAAATATTTATTTTGTTAAATATTTAGCTGCAAACTAAATATTTAACAAAGTAAGATTTTTATAAATGAATAAATGACATAATGAAAAAAAAAATACCTTGTTAAATAATAAACTCCTCATTTTTCTCTTTCAACACTAAATAAGTTTAAATATTGCTCCTAATGTTTGACTGATTAACCATAGTTTATTATTTACTGAAACTGGACGACTTGAAAATTATTTAGCCGTTAAATTTATTCAATATACTTTTTTCTAAAAGGTGAAAAAACTCATTTAACTTTGGGAAAAAGTAAAGAAGCAGGAGGCCGAGCTGGATTTAAATACCTTAATATATTTACAGGATAAATGAGACTGAAAATACTTTTCATTTTCTTTCCTCCATAAATAAATGTCTTCATATTGAAATAATTTTTGTGATTTTTAAAATTTTCTGAAGCAGATTATATTCCGCTAAAACATCCAAACATTTGGCCGTCGGTCCATTTGTGAGATTAAAAAGGATGAAATACGACGGTATTTAAACGGGACGAGGTTTCATTACCTTCAGGTTTCCATCCGGAAATCAATAAAATAATTATTTTGATTTATAACAAACGTATCTGGAGCTATTTTTGTTCTACTTGTATTAAAGTAAATAATTATTAAAATCTGCTGCCATTTATCAGAAAATCAACAAAACCAGGAAACCAAACTTTAGACACAAACAGTTTTATTTAACCAGAAACGTTTACATTATTTTAGCACAAAGACTTTTTCTTTTCTTTTAATTTTCATGAACAGCAAATAAAATAACAGGAGATGACGTCATAAAGTCGTTTCTGTCTCAGGTCGGATATTCACCTCCGACAGCAGGGGGCGCTACAGCAACACAACATCCTTAGACGACATCAGAAGAACTGCGCGCGGCAGTGTGGGCGGGATGGATGACATTTATCGCCCACACGGAACCGTTCTGTTGGTTCTTCAGGGAGAACATCACATCATAAATACATTAACATCTTTAATTCATGGTTTACGGCTCTGATCTTTTCTAGAAATCAAACATCTGATTCTTCAGCAGCTCCTGATCTGCTGCTCCTCCTCAAAAGGAGTGGGTGTGGCCAGGCGACCATCCGGCCCCGCCCACTCGACCATGAGCCGCAGGCTGGATGAGGTTCTCGCTGCTGATTGGTCCATGGAGTGTAGCGCATGGAGAGTGGGAGGGGCTAATCTCAGAGCAGCCGACGGTCCAGAGGCAGGGATACTGGCTGAGAACGTAGAACCAATCAGATTGAGCTCAGGGCAACAGTATAAAGGTGTGGGCGGAGCCTCACCTTGAGGTATGGGGAGGAGGCGGAGCCTGTGAGGAGGGAGCAGCACTGGTCAGAGGCAGCGAGGAGGAGGAGGGTGAGAAGGACGAAGATGAGGAGGCTGGACGAGGCGAAGAACCGCTCCAACCTTCATGGAGAACAGGAACACCTTCAGAGATCAGGTTCACTGACGGAACACAAACCAGGTGGAGACGCGTCAGGGAACCTGAGGAACCACCTTAGAACATCTGATCCTGTCTGAGGAACCACCTTAGAACATCTGATCCTGTGAGGAACCACCTTAGAACATCTGATCCTGTGAGGAACCACCTTAGAACATCTGATGTTTCTTCAGG